CACAGCCTATTTACTTGCACACAGCTCATTCATTTCATTGGCACACAGCTCATTCATTTTATTGGCACACAGCTCATTCATTTTATACTGACATATGTATTCATTCTGAATGCAGGTTGGTTCTCGTAGTGTACGGGGGTATGGCTCCAGCGCCGCGCGGGACTGGTATGTTGAGCTCCCGGAGGCTGTCCGGGATTTAGTAGACTTGGCAGGGTTCGGGGCCTTCTGCATTGGATTGTCACGTTGTCCTGCCAAGAGGACATTGATGGCGGCTTTGGTAGAGAGATGGTGGGACACCACCAACTCCTTTCATTTCTCTGCCACTGGGGACATGACTATGACCCCTCTGGATTTTACGGTATTGACCGGCCTGGACATAGGAGGTTGGTCCATTCCTTATGACGAGGACATGGGCGAGTGGGAGGCCACTTGGATATATCTACTGGGAGCTCGCCCGCCTGTCGACAGAGTTTCTGGGAGAGTTCGATATACTTGGTTCTCTTCTCACTTCCGGCGGGTGGAGATGGAGCCCGAGACTCCTGAGGAGACAGAGCAGTATGCCCGTGGTTTCCTTATGTTCCTCTTCGGGACTACTCTGTTTGTCGATAGAGGGAACACGGTCGGGCTATATCTGTTGAGCGCTCTGGTTGACCTATCACAGGTCAGCCGATACGACTGGGGTGGCGCCGGCCTGGCCACTCTTTACTACTATATGAGTGCCACCTCCCGCGGACAGGGAGACTTACTTGGTGGTTATTGGAGAGCCTGGGAGGTACTTTTCTGTCCCCTTGATTTACATTTCTGCTCTTCATTACTTGTACATTGCACACACAGCGCACTTTACAGTCTGTATTTTGACCTCAGCACTTTGTACTTACATTCTGCACTGCTTTTCTCAGTTATGGGTTTACGTATACTTCCCGGTATTAGCCCCAGAGTTGGAGGTGGCAGGGCCCCCCATGACCCCATATTCACTGGTGTTCGAGGGCCCGCACCGGCCGAGACCCCGAGAGACTCTCATTTATCTGCGACAGTATTTTGACACTGTGCGCCCATCGGAGGTACTTCAGAACCCTCAGTTCTTCCCATTTTTATCTCTGATTTGCCCTGCACGTTCCTGATTTCTGATTGGTTTATTCACTTGTTATCCGCAGATTACATGGCAGCCTTGGGCACCCTTGGGCGATGGTCTCCGATTTCAGTATCCCGGAGGATCGGGCACCTCCCAGTACAGGTTCCTGCTCGAAGGACCTGTTGGTAGAGCATGGTTTCTGGGGGAACGCTTTCTGCGTCAGTTATGGGGGTATACTTCTCAGGACCCTCCCGCAGCACCCCCAGTCAGTATGCGGACTGCTGTTAGGCTCTCTCACCAGGAGGTAGTCGGCGGTATGCTGGGTAGTGATGCCCTACTGCACCTCGAGGAGGGGGACTACGCCACTTACCGTCATACATATTTGATGCCTCCACTGGCGGGGGCTCGCACCCCGATGACGAGGTCTGCTGGTACGTCATCTTCGAGCCAGGCCCGGGCTCGGGCTGCAGACGCCCCTTCTACTAGTAGGGCTGGTACATCGAGAGGTGGGGGTAGATCGGTTCCTCCGATTACTCCGACTTATCCTCAGCCTGGATGGCCGGACATGCCGTCCAAGTTGACGGGATGGCGTTTTGGGACTCCTTACCCGATTCCGCTAGAGCCTCCACTTCCTGACCATAGATATGTCAGGGATCCTGATTCACCACCCGTATGATTTATAGCTTTGATTTATCAGTCGGGTACTTGGACATTCATTCCTTTACTGATAGTTTTGCATTTGTATCTGCAGCCTCCGGTTGAGTATGTGGACGAGATGCTCGGGGTGATGGCCGCACCTGAGGGCATGGTCCGTCGGAGAGAGACACACCTATCCGTTATGGGTGTGCAGGTACCGTTCACTTTTCTTGTATTTATCACACTTCTGATGACACACTGGTTTTGAACATTCTTCTGTATTGTAGAGCACATCCGACACACACCCCACTCACATACTGTACTCGTATCTGATTTTCATATTTGAACTGATGTGTTGAACTTTTCATTTTCAGATGCCTCCTGTATATGCTCAGTCGCAGGTCGGGCCACCTGGGCTTCCTTGGGGAGCTGGGCCATCTGGGCCTTTTTACGGAGCTGGGCCATCTGGGCCTTCTCAGGGAGCTGGGCCATCTGGGCCTTCTCAAGGAGCTGGGCCATCCCGGCCTTTCCGAGGAGCTGGGCCCTCCAGGCCTTTTCGAGGAGCTTGAGGAGGGTCCTCCCGCAGACGCAGGGCACACGTTGTAGAGGCGGAGCCCGAGGAGGAGGAGGAGGAGGAGAATACCGACCGCCAGTCAGAGACATCTGCCGAGGAGGGGGGCTCCGGTCTTGGTTCGGGAA